GACCGACTCACACTGTCAAAAGCTTTTGTCAAGTCAAAGTACACAACTCCAACTTTTTGCCCAGAGTTAAGTTCTTATCTTGAAGAAAGCGTGGTATCGAGCATATTTGACTGTTAACCTTGTTTTTTTTTTCCTTCAGAGCAAGTGAACTGCCACGTACACTTCTATTTTTACCCCGTTATCAACGAATTTCTCGCTGGCTAATCGCGAATTCTGCATTTGAGAAGAGAGGTCGCCTGAAACCGTCTCTGTCTCTTGCCCCTTCACGCCAGTGAGTAAGAAGTAACTCACATAAAATGAACAAAGGTCGTGGTATAGTAAAAGGGTTGCAGATGTTCATTAATGCCTTCAACTTTTGCCATGAACACCTTTCCTTTGATATTAATTCTGATACTAGTACTGACACGCAAAAAGAGTTAGAATTTTGGCACTGATCGGCGTTGTGGACGGAAGGGAGGACATTTTGCACTTTCCTTAGTTCCTTTTGTCAGATCATGTCAAATAACAGGTCTCATTTTGTTGAGACCTGTGATCTCTTGTGAGGCTGCGACATGGTAAAGTGAGCCTGAGAGAGTAACAGGAATCTACAAGTGTTTTCAAGGTGGCCTGTACAAGCTTCATTCAGTACCATTTGGTGCTCCCACCAAGCCGCAAGGCGCCTAGATTTTGTTATTCGACTTCCCTCAATAATAAGGAATGGATCATCAAGAAGTAGTCGGTCCATCAAGTGACGCCTCGTGAGATGTCCGAATTTCAATGAGAATTCCAGATGCTCGGATCAAATGAAATTAACTGATATTTGAAACCTTAAAAATATCTTCATTTTCAGAAAGATATCTGCGAGCGTTTCTTTATAACTAAATATCCGACCATGAAGTTATTCGTCTTTGGTGATATGCTGCTTCATGAATACAGGTTGGTTTCTTGTTCATACTCTGATCAACCAGTTTGACGGGGAGAACTTCGAGTGGTCAGTAGTTGGGGGAATTTCTTGCAAAATACTACCCACTTTCAAAATTCCCCTCTAATGCGATCCCTAGCCCACCTCTCATGCAGCTTATCATTTTCCGTTCAAAGACACCTTCAGCTTTTACTTTTACTTTACTTTACTTTTCTTCAGAAGCGTTCACCGGTGCGTGGAGGGTGAGATACATAGCGCGCTTGGAAACGGGAGAGCAATCGTCAGCAACCGGAAGTACTTCTCTCATAAAAGACTAACACCCGTCCGCCCCCTCCAGCTACCACCGTCCCCCCT